TCGGTTCCGACTCGATGGCACCTGACAACAACAACAACAAATTGTGTGTATGTACTAAAGTTTGTTTAGCCATTCTTCTATTGATGGGCATTTAGGCTTTCTCCATCTTTTTTATATGTCTCTTGTAGATAGGATATTGAAGCATCCTGTTTTCTTATCCATCCTGGTCTTTATGTCTCTTGACTGGTACATTTAATCCATTTACGTTCAGTGTAATTATCAGTAAGTATGAATGTATTTTATCATTTTTCTGTGCATATTTTTGTGGTTCTGCTGGCTTCTTTGTTTCACATAATTTTCTATGCTGAGTTCATTTTGTTTGTGGGTTTCCTTATCATTTTCATTTTTGTTCCATTAATATTTGGTAAATCAGATTTTCTCCTTTTTTTATTTTGTTGTGCAGGCGTATTATTTTTCTTCAGGGTTATCCTGTAATTTATTAATTTTTTTCTTCTGCTTAAAGCAGTGTGTTTTATCTTGAAATCTACTTGACTTCCTTGCCATTTGGAAGTTCTGTGGCTATACTACTTCCTCTTTTTGCTTTGTAGTTGACGTCATTATACATTGATATCTCTGGTTCCCTAGTTGCAGTCTTGTTTTACTTTAAATACTCACATATCTGGATTGAGTTCTGGGTGGTGTTGACTTGTATGATAGTCTCAGTTTATTGTTGGACAGGGAAAGAAGAAATCTATGAGGGGGCTCCTGCAATTCAAGGAGCTCATGGGGTGGTTGTGGAAGAGGTGTGACAGCTGAGTTCCTGGATCTAGATGAAGTTCCATGTTATCTATGTTCAGAGCACTCAATCCAGAAGGAGTTTGTTGGGGCCCTTGATGGAGCTGGTTCAATGTCTGTTAGGACCACAGGGAAGCTGGGGGCAGGGTGACTTGTTAAATGTTGGTTTGCTGACTCTGGAGGTCTGGCGCTGAACCCACGTGATTCCAGATACCAAAGCAGCACACCAAAGTGGTACAGTCAGCCGCCACCTCACACTGGCATGGCTTCCAACCACGCGGCTCTGAACTCCTAGAGAGCGAGGTCTGCACTGGGGGTAGATGAGGGTGGAAGCTGGCCACACTTATGGTTACCAAGGGAGCTTGGGGAGAAAGAAGAAATCACGCCTTTTCCATCACCCTCTCGAATCTGTTCTGCCAGATCTCCCTCCACGACCATAGCTGAGTCTGGCCAGCAGTTCACCAGTCAGTCTCCCTCTGTCACTGTCCCTGCTCAGCCCAGAATTTTCATCTATTTCTGTTTTATTTTGTCTCTCGTTTCTTTGTTGTAGAGGGTCCAGGTAGTGCATCTGCCTAGCCTGCCATTTTGTCAGAAGTGACCTGTCATTTCTTCAAGGGGTCTGTTAAGATAACAATGTTCCGGAGTCCTCAGGAGGTCCTCTCTGGTGTCCTGTGTCCTCTAGTGTTGTACTTACAACTTTGTATCAGGTTTCTCTGTTTAAGTATCTGGGCTGCCCGCTAGACTATAAGCTCCTTAAGGACTGAGATCTTTTCTTATTCACTTTTGAATTCCCCAGTGCCTAACACAATGCCTAATAGCTTAGACATTCCATAAGCATTTCTTTAATTAATGAATGCCTCTAGGTAAAGAAAGCTCTGGTAGCTTGGTGGTTACGAATTGGGCTGTGAACTGCAAGGTCAGCAGTTCGAAACTACCAGCTAGCTGTTCCACGGGAGAAAGATGAGGCTTTCTGCTCCCATAAAGATTTACAGCCTCAGAAACCCTTACAGGGTTGCTGTGAGTCGGAACCGACTCCACGGCACATAACAACAATAGCAACAGGTAAAAAACAAATGCAGTGTAGGTTTACTAACATAAAGAATATTTACTTAGAATAGCTAACATTTGTTTAGTACTTATCATGTGCCAGATACTTTCAAGCTCAATGTTCACAACAGTTCCATGAAATAGTCACTGCTAGTATTATTATTCCCGCTAACAGATGAGAAGGCTAAGGTACAAAGACGTTTCAGAATTTTTCAAAAGAAGAAAATTATAATGAAGATGTTGACAGAAGAAAGAAAATAATTATGGTTTTGGCTAGACTTTTTGTTGGGAGCCCTGGTGTGGCTCTGTGAGTAAATGCCCTGGACTGCAAAGTAGTTTGAACTACAAGGTTGCCAGTTCAAGCTCACCAGCCGCTCATTGGAAACTCTATATAGGGTTACTATGGGTCGTAACTGACTCAATGGCACGTAACACAACACCAAGCTAACCACAAGATATGGGGGGTCAAAACCATCAGCTGCTCCTCAGAAATCCTATACTGACTTGACGGCACTTAACAACATTGGGTAAAATCACACTGTCCTTTACCTCCTTCTGGATCTGAGAAGCAAAGCTAAATAATCTATTGTTGTAGAGAATCACTTATGGCTTTCATTGCTTCACCACTGGAGAGAGAGAGAAATGTCAGATGAAAGCAAATGAAGTGAGAGAATCCAGAATCCAGACTTGCCAAAAAGGGGAGTAAGAGATGAAAAATAAGAAGAAAAACTCAAATGGATAGAGCTTTGAAAGAGAAAAGGAAACTAAATTGTTTAAGCTATTAGGAAGTTCGTTAAATCCTGAAGACTGTGTAGAAAGGAATCATACATAGCAGGTGTATTGTGTCTTGAATTCACTTTAAATATTTCAGCAGAGAAATGGCATGGGTTGTTGTTGTTGTTCAGTGCTGTCAATTTGGTTCTGACTCAGGAACTTTGTGTCCAACAGGACAAAACACTGCCCAGTCTTGCAGCATCCTTACAGTTGTTATGCTTCGACCTACTGTTGCAGCCACTGTGTCACTCCATCTCATTGAGCATCTGCCTCTTTATTAACCTTCTACTTTACCAAGCATTACGTCCTTTTTCAGGGGCTGGTCCCTTCTGATAATATGTCCAAGGTACATGCAATGAGATCTCAGCATCCTCACTTCCAAGGAGTGTTTTGGTTGTACTTCTTCCAAGACAGATTTGTTTGTTTATCTGGCATGGTAAGCCAGTTATTTTAAGCTTCAACTCTTGGGGCAGTCAGTTGAACTAAGAAAACTTCCATATTCCTTGGGTGGTCCACCAGGATTCTATAGAAAGGCCCCAGTCCTGAGCTATCTACTATCACCAGACCAAACACATCGCCATCAAGTCGGTTCCAACTCACAGCAACCCTGTACTGGTTTCCGAGGCTATAAGTCTTTACATGCACAGCAACTGTTTTTGCTAATTTGTGTAGTGAGTGTCAGAAATGTCTGTGTGTATGTGTATAAAATTAGTGGCTTGTTAAGTAGCATGATTATAAGAAATGACTTGTCATTAATGAGGTGAGGTTAAAGTTATTTAAGCTATTTAGATTAGATTAAAATTTTAAGAGACACCTCCTACTCTTGCCTGAAGGATATCTGAGGGGCTTCAAAAAGTTCATGGAAAAATTACATTATCTTTTCATTCCATTTGTCCATGAATCTTTTGAGGCATCTCGTATGAATCTAAGAAAATGTGTAGCCTTCCCCATAAAAGGTGGTGCTAGACTTGATTTCTAAAAAGTCTGTGTTCAGCCACTGATTTTTGAAGATTTATGGTTTCCTGATGTCTACTATAAGGGTAATGAAGTTCTGAATAAAGTAAAAAATCTTGACTCTTTATAAAAGGTCAGAATCTAAAAGGAAAAAGAACTAACAGTCCATTAAACTTACAGAACAGGTTTTATACACTATTTTGTATTTACTTAATGATTTTGAATCATCTCATGAGCATCAAACAAGAACAGTGGTTCAAAACCCTATGTTGTGGCCTCAGGATCACAATAAGATGGAGTATTGAGCTAAACTTGTACTGTTTCTATTCAGTATGATCACTGTCTTCTGATCAGGCTAAACCCATGTCTGTCAGGAAAACCTTCTCCCTATTGCTAAATTATTTCCTTTTCTTGAAGTCGCTTATTGTAAGATGAGTTTCTGTCTGTACCTTGCCATTATATTTAGTGTACCCTCAGCATTTATATACTGTTTTCTGACTGCCATGTGTAAGTCCTTTGTTTTGATTTTGTTTACCCTGCCCTGGTTAGATTATGACTTCCCAAGGTCAAAAGTCCTATATCCTGTTTCTTTGGGACCCTCCCACTTTGCACCCACTTGACATTTTAATCAATAATCTACTGGCCTATGCTTGTGTGATGCTGCAGGATAAAGCACTGGACTGCAAAGTCATTTTGAACCATAAGGTTAGTGGTTCAAAACCACCAGCTGTCCTCAGACACCCTTATTCAGGGTCTCTATGAGTCAGAACCAACTCGAGATGGTACTTAACAACAACAGTGATTTCAGCAGGTGCAAGTACTTCTTGTTCATTGTGGCATTTCTCAAAAACTTGCTTCTCAGGTGCTATTGTGCTCCTGTCTTGTCTCCTTACAGGTTTAATGTCTACGAAAGAAGACCTAATATCACAGGCCAGGCTCTTCACCAGAAGCTTTGAGGATGGAATGGGCTTTGAATATGTGATGTTCTACAATGAAGATGAGAAAAGAATGGTTTGCTTGTTTCAAGGAGGCCCTTACCTACAAGGAGCACCTGGGTAGGAATGATAGCCTAGAGATGTAGGATCTCAAATAGTTTTACTAAAGTACCTTCTCTCCATATCCTTGAACTACAATGAAGACAATAAAGATGATGTCGGTGTATATTTACTGACATGTAAAGATGTTAATAATATGTTATTCAACGAAAAAGAAAAATAGGACAATAGATATAATTTGAGAGAATACTATTAAAACATTAACAGTGGTTGTCGCTAGGTGGTAGGATTATGGGCCTTACAATTTTTTTTTTTCCTTTTGTCTTCTGCTGTCTGCATTTTTTAACTTGTTGAACAATGAATGTGTTGTAATTAGGTGCCATCAAGCCAGAGCCAACATATAGGGACCCTATGTACAACAAAATGAAACAGTACTGGGTCCTATGCCATCCTTAAAATCATTGTTAGTTTGAGCCCACTGTTTCTGCCACTGTATCAATCCATCCATCTTGTTGGAGGTCTTTTTTTTTTTCATTGACCCTCCATTTTACGAAGCATGATGTCCTTCTCCAAGAACCTGACAACATGTCCAAAGAATAAGAGATGAAGTCTCACTTTCCTCACTTCTAAGGAGCGTTCTGGCTCCATACTTCTTCTAAAACAGATTTATTTCATCTTCTAGCAATCCGTGGTCCTTTCAGTATTCTTTGATAACACCATAATTCAAATGCAACAATTTTTCTATGGTCTTCCTTATTCATTGTCCAACCTGCACATGCACACGAGGCAATTGAAAATTGGATCAGGCACAGCTTAGTCCTCAAACTGACATCTTTGCTCTTTAACACCTGAAACTTGAAAGAAGTATTTCACAGCAGATTTGCCTAACACAAATCATTTGATTTGACTGCTACTTTCATGAATGTTGGTTGTGGGTCCAAGCAAAATGGAGTCTTTAATAACATCAATCTTTTCTCCATTATCATGTTGTTACTTACTGGTTGTGAGAATTTACGTTTTCTTTACATTGAGATGCAATCCATATTTAAGGCTGTCATCTTTCATCCTCGACAGTAAGTATTTTAAATCATCTTCACTTTCAACAAGCAAGGATGTGTCATCTGCATATCACAGGTTGTTAAAGAGTCTTCTTCCAATCCTGATGCCACATTCTTCTTCATACATACCAGCTTTTCAGATTATTTTCTCAGCAGACAGATTGAATAAGTATGGTGAAAGGATACAACCCTGACACACATCTTTCCTGATTTTAAACCATGCATTCTGTTTGAACAACTGCATCTTGGGCTGTGTACAGGTTCTTCATGAGCACAATTAAGTGTTCTGGAATACCCATTCTTTGCAATGTGATCCATAGTTTGTAATGATCCACACAGTTGAAATACTTTAGCATAGTCAATGTAGCACAAGTAAACATCTTCTTGATATTCTCTGCTTTTAGCCAAGATCCATCTGACATCAGCAATGATATCCTTAGTTCTACATTCTCTTCTGAATCTGACTTGAATTTCTGGTAGCTCCTTGTCCATGTACTGCTAAAATTATTTTTGAATTAGCTTCAGTAAAATTTTACCTGCATGTGATATTAATGATATTGTTCAATGATTTTCACATTTGGTTGGGTCACCTTTCTTTGGAATAAGCACAAAATGTATCTCTTCCAGTTGGTTGGCCAGGTAACTGCTTTCTAATTTCTTGACATAGACAAGTGAGTGCCTCCAGTGCTGCATTAGTTTTTTTGAAACATTTCAATTTGCATTCCTTCCATTTCTGCAACCTTGTTTTTTGCCAATGCCTTCAGTGCAGCTTGGACTTCTTCCTTCAGTACTGTCGGTTCTTGATCATATGCTACTCTCAAAATGGTTGAGCATCAAGCAGTTCTTTTTGTTGCAGTGACTGTGTATTCCTCCCATCTTCTTTTGATGCTTCCTGTATCATTTAGTATTTTGCCCATAGAATCTTTCAATTTTGTAACTCAAGGTTTGAGTTTTTTCTTCAGTTCCCTCAGCTTGAGAAATGTAAGCATGTTTTTCCCTGTTGATTTTGTAAATCCAGATCTTTGAACATTTTTTTATAATATTTGATTTTGTCTTCTCCAGCTATCCTTTGAAATTTTCTATTCAGCTTCCTCATTTCTTCCATTACTTTAGCTTCTCTATACTCAAGAACAAGTTTCAGAGTTTCTTCTGATATCCATTATGGTCTTTTCTTTCTTTCCTATCTTTTTAATGACCTTTTTGCTTTCTTCTTGTATGATGTTCTGGATATCATCCCACAACTCTTTTAATCTTCAGTCATTAGGGTCTAATGCATCAAATCTGTTCTTGAGATGGTCTTTAAATTCAAATGGAATATATTCAGGGTCATATTTTGGCTTCCATATATTTGTAATGTGCTTCAACTTCAGCTGTCTGCTGTGGTTGGTCCTCAGTCCAAAGAACACACTTTAGCGTTTTTTGTAAAGTTGGTCTGGTCATTACAAATTCCTTTCATTTCTGTTTATATATCATCCCATTGCCTTCTTGCTTGCATAGTTTATGTTGAGAAATCAGAACTTAATCTTATTGGTTCTCCTCTGTAGGTAACTTTTCATTTTTCTTGAGCTGCTCTCAAGATTCTTATCTTGTCTTTGATTTTGGAGAGTTAGATTATATGTTTTGGTGATTTTCTTTTGGGGTCTGCCCTGTTTGGGTTCATGTATCTTCTTGAATGGTTGATTATCTTCTCATCTTTCATGATGTTAGGGGAGTTTTCTTCCAACAACTCTTCAGTAATTCTCTCTGTTGTTTTTATTGTCTTGTCCTGTCCTGGAATTCTGATCAACTATAAGTTGTTCCTTTTCACGGTGTTCCACATAACTCCTAGGCTTTCTTTGGATTTTCTTTCATTGTTTTTTCTAATTGTTCTTTTAGCCTACTAGTATTGAGAGATTTATCTTAAAGTTCACTAATTTGGGTTCACCTTTGCCCTTTCAATGTATTGTCCATTTCTGAGATTTGCATTTTTTTTGTTCATTTGTTTTATTAGTGTTTTCCTGAATTCTTCTAAAGTTATTTCTGTGTTCTCCTAGCTTTCCTTGATCTTTTTATCAATCCTTTGGAGGTACTTGATATCATTCTTTTGTATTCTTTTTCAGCTAGTTCCATTACCTTTTCTTCACAATTGTTTTCTGGCTCTGAATCTTGATAATGTCTTTGAGCCATTCTCTCTTGTTTCTTCATGTGAGCTAAAGTTTTCTTTTGTCTGTAGGGCATTGTGGGATTGTCTTATTTGTATTTAATTGATGATTATATGTTGGTGTGTTCTCAGCCTCTCACAAACTGTCTCTGTGGGTATAGAGAATGGAAGTGTGTACACTTCTCGTTTGCCATTTGTGCACCTCAGTTTAGGGTGGTTTTTGCTGGTGTTGATGTTGGCTGCTGTTTACCATTGATCAGGTGGTATAGGAGCTGGTGCTGGCTCTTGCCCTATGGAGCTTCTGAGGGTACAGTTGTGACTGGGCTGGACAGACATGGTTACTGTCTCTTGCTGGATGGAAAAGATAAAACCCCTGTGCATCCCACACATGGAGTCCTGGTGTGGCGCTGTGGGTTAATGCAGCAGACATTAACAAAGGCATTTGAACTGAAAAGTCAGTGGTTCAAGCTCACCAGCTGCTCCTTGAAAACCCTATACAGGGTCGCTATGGGTCGGAACCAACTTGACGGCAGTTAACAACAACAACAACATCCTACACACACAAGAAAACAAAAGAGAATAAACAAATAAGGAACCAACAATGAGAAGAGAAAATAATATAGAGAAAAAATAAATAAAAACAGGCAGCAGCTAGAAAAAAAGCCAAAAGGACAGGGAAATGAAGCTATAAAAGAGAAAAATAAGAGAGGAAATTAAAGGAAGAAAAAAAAAAAAAACACTCAGAAAAAATAGGCAGACAGAAGATGTACAGAGAAAGTGGAGACTAGTAAAGAAAGATCAAAAGGGGGCAAAAAGAAGAGGGTAAATGAGAACCAAAAGAAAAGGAGGGGAAACAAAAGCAGAGATGGAAAGTATTAAAATTCAAGGGAATAGGAAGAAAAGAAGAAGGAGGGGGAAAAAAAAAACAAAAAAACAATGAAACAAGCAAAGGAAAAAAACCATAACATAGAGATAGTGTAGTTTTTTGACCCAGAGAGAAGAAAACTCTGGGGGGCTCCTGCAAGCCAAGGATTTCACGAAGTGGGTATGGGAGGGATGTGACAGCAGAGTTCCTGGCCCGGGATGGGCTCAGGGTTCAGGGCTATAATCCAGAAGTAGTTCATGAAGGCCCTTGATGGAACTGGTTTCAGTGTCAGTTAAGACCACAGGGCAGCTAGGGACAGGGTGACTGGTTAAATGCTGGTCTGTTGGCTCTGTTGGATATATAGGTCTGGAGCTGAGCCTGCCTGAATCCAGGCACCAAAGTGGTGCAGCTGGCCCCCATCTCACACTGGCATGGCTCAGGACCACATGGCTCCTAACTCCTGAAGAGCAGGGTCTGTGCTGGAGGTGGCTGAGGGTGGGAGCTGGCTACACCTCTGGTCACCAGCAGAGAGTGGGGCAAATGAAGGAATTATACCTTTCTCATTCTGTGTGTGAGTCTGTTCTGCCAGGCCACCTTCTGTTGCCAAAGATGATCAAGCCAAGTCTGGCTCACCGTTCACCAGTCTGTCTCCATTTCTCACCGTTCCTTCTCAGCTTCTCCTCCCAGCAAGCACTCAGTCCACTTCTCTAACCTTTCCTCCAAAGTTCAGGGATCCAGGATTTTCATTTGTGTCTGTTTCATTTGGTCTCTTGTATCTTTGTTGTGGATCGTCTGTGCAGTACATCTGCTTAGTCCGCCATCTTGCTGAAAATCCTCATTCCATTTCATTTTTGACAACTTCCAGTATTCCTAGATTCATATTTCGTGCATTCCACATTCTATTAATAGATGTTTGCAGCTGTTTCTTCTCATTTTGAGTTATGCCCCATCAGCAAATGAAGGTCTTGAATGCTTTGCTCCATCCATGTCAGTAAAC